TGATTGGGCATCGAGGCTGCAAACATCACCCACCAGCTACCATTCTTCACAGCCTCGTCCTATAGTTATTGGACTGTAGGAAATTGCTTTGATGCAACACATAATGGCTGCTAAAAAAAATCAATACAAGTGAAAATTAAATGACCATAAATTGTGAAAAACAACAAACACATTGCTGTTTAAAACAATTCCTCTGTATTGAGAAACCTTATTAATTAGAGTCAATTGCAGAATGACATGTATTTTGCGATAAGACACCTTTTGGCTATTACTAACAAACATGAATATTTATGTCAGTTCAAAGGCCCCTTCAAAAGTCTATACTTTCAAGCAGCACAAGCCTTTCTTCAAACCTTACATTTTGTGTGTGTCTGTTACTATCGCCCAAATTACTTATAGCCCCGTGCAGTCTATGTACAATCATATATGGTATATCTGTTATGCCTGTGGAATAAGTGACTTTTTTTAACATGTAGAGTTGGCCCCCTCGACCCCCCCCCCTCCCCCATACACACACGTCTGTTTATTGTGTAAATCAAGGATTTGTTATTGTTCCTCATCATCATTTTTTCGTTTATTCTTTTTCACATTAGCTCCCATTGGTTTTGTACATCTTTCTAATAGAGGTCGTCTCTGATATGACACCTGTCCTCAATTACTCGATGATGCTTCACATGTGTGTCCTCGATTTACACCATGAATACGCACACACACACCAACAGTCATGAATTTCTATACGCCCTAGGACAATGCTTTGTGTTTCCCTTTGTCCCTGTAATCTAACACTCTCACATAGACTAAGCACATAACCATAGGATCGAGGACCGTTTACAACAAAGGACTGAAAGGATCTTTTGTTCTCCCTTTGTGTGTTTGTCCTCTGTAGTAAAGCCACATGTATACACATTCTTGTTCTGTAACTGTGGGGAATACACACGTGTTGTCCCCTGGTATGGGGACTGAAGACGCTATGGGGACAGCAGAAAGTCCCCATAACTAATTTGCCTAACAATAAAAAACTCCCCCATAACGCAGTGACGGCCTGCCCACACATATTTACATTCCATACCTACTGTGGACATTCCTTTGAATTCATGTAATTAAGAAAAACTGGGGAAAAAATCGTTTTTAGCACTGTGAACACTCTTTCAACCCATTATTTTTTATCATGATTTCCTTGAGTGTTCCTCTTCATTTTGCGACAAACAATCTTAACCCCAAAATGGCGCTAAACCTGTTTTCCACAGGGGGGAAACCTAGTGTGGACGTGGGCAAGTCCACACAACGTTCACACTTCCTGCATCCTGTGGACCTCTTTTGTTCACTGGTCCACAAAGAGTATGCAAGGTTAGAGCACACACAAACGCACAAAATCAACACAAAAACAAAACACAAAAAACAACAGAAACGAGATCGCACAAGCATAAGCAAAATAGATTTAATTATTTTCGAAGCTAAACCCAGGACCTGAAAGTAAGCAATATTGGGGACCTACCGGGAGGCTGACAATTTCATACAGTAGAAAGCCCAATTAACAAAATGCAGTAAGCATCACTTTGGTTACCAGCAGCAAACATAAATGGATCACCAAACCTGCTGTGATCAATGTCTCCCTTGTGAAAGAAAATACATGCAAAGTATTCAATTGCGTTTTTGAAAACACAGGGATTTCACAAAATCCCATCACAGCATTTAAGAACCTGACAAAGAGAGTGAAAGTTAGCGGATGAGGCAGCACAAAAGCCAGCAGCACATGTGCTGTGGGAAATTAGTATCAGGAAAGTAAGTGAAGATTCAATTTGACAACGATAGAAGACACAGCCAGCCATCTCTGCCATCAAGCATAAGATCCTGTCTCCATCAAGGTTTTAAATTGATTGGGCTAGACCAACCGGACTGAGCGGCAAGGTCGAGACGTTTGCGCATTGCCTGCTTGCCAAATCCAATCCCATTTCCATGCAGCCTAATTTCATTTCAGCTCCGGCAATAACGAACGGCGCTGGACGAGAGAACCTCTGGTTGCTCCTCATCTGGTATTATAGCCTGGATAATCCAATTGGTAGATGGGATCACGGGTACTCAATTGGGTGCGTGACACGTGGACATAAACAACACTGGCTCAATGTGCCTCCCCGAATCAGAATAATGGTTTGGGATCTTGTTAGTAGGGGATCTTAATATATTCATTGGAGGAGGATAATCTATCCAGGCATTATGCTCGTTTATACTTAGGAAGCTTTTGGAGGGAAAGTGCATTTTGAGCGTTTTTCCACTCGGCTGAGCACCTTGTTGGAGGCTCTTACCTCAATGACTTAGCATTCAAGATAACATAAGTGATCAGTGTTTCTGTGTGGGTTTAGGCTGAGTAGTGAGGACCCCACTACTGCTAACAATGTCACAGCTGGAAGGATTGACATTACACAAAGAGGAACTCAATCAATGGATTCTACACATCCAGTTACTTCAGGACTATCAAATATACAAATTGAAATATCAATGGCTTTGCTGAAAGGGAAACTCTGGGCAACACACGTGACCTATTTCCACAAACAGTGACCCGTGTCCACAAATTAATGACCACTCTTCGGCCGCCTTTCCATAAGCCCTTTTTTCAGTCAGCTTTGTGTCTGTGTGGTGAGGCTTGAGGTTTACAATAAGGCATGAATATTCAACAGACATGCAAAAGACACTAAAAGGATGAAAAACATGCACATGGAAAGGCGGCTATGAGAAGTCTTCCTGCAGTTTCCCGTTTCAAATCCTTTATTTGACTCAACTAAATACTTAAACTGTTTAGATTCTGGACTAGAAAAACATTTGTAGACTTCCAAAAATGTATAGTTTCCTTTGTGTTTTAACTTAGGTCAACCCACAAAAATCAGTTAGGATTAAAATGTCTTCATGGGCTGAAGCATGCCAAACCTACCATACAATGTGCCATAATTATATTTTGGAGTCAGAGAACTAGAAATCTTTTTTTTTAAGAAAATAGATTTCAAACATAACTAAAATTAAAACTTTAGTCTAAGAATATTTTAGATTTGATTTCTTTCTGAAGTTCTTGGACTATAACAGTTTTATCATTTAGTATTATAATATACATTTTATACCTATTTGTTCCTACAAAATTTAGTTACATCGAAAAATCAATATACGATTGATTTTCATTATGAATGTAAATTAATATATAAAATTGGCTTTGTCAATGACCTGTGAATGAAGGCAAATAAAGTGCTCTTGTATTATAAATATAAGTTGAAGTATGCTTTGCAGGAAATCATCATGTATGAAAAAAATATTCTTTTCCAAAATACCACAACGTAGTTATAGAAAAAGTGTCTTGAAGTTGAAGTATTGCGATTCTCACTTCCACTTTCAGTTTTAAAAACCTGTTCATGTAGGATGCCAGCCTTTTTTTTTTTCTTCTAATAACCCATGCCCCACATCTCAAGCCATGGTAAAATAAAAATCTGTTGTAATTTAGGTTGGTGCACTTTGCAGATTTGTCCCCCCATTCTTCATTTTAACACCTCATCCCACCACCACTAACTGCCCCCATTCTAATGAAATAAGACTCCAAATGTGCAGCAGTCAACTGCCTAATGTCTGCTCTAATCAACAACAAACACAACATCAGGACACAATATTTCCAGCCAGGAGCATCTCATGATGGAAATCACCAGGACAATCATCATTCAGGACCCAGTTATGATCTGAACTCCTCAGGCTAGACTATTGAAATCAGTTCTCATGACCTTAAAAATAAAGGACTAACTGAGCAATTGTCGACAGACAAAGTTAATATAAACTACAAAAAGGTGTGATAATTGGCATAATGACATAACCAAATCACACGTGCCACATTTCCTTTTGGTCAGAAGCCAAAAGATTTGAAAGGCGGAAAAGCCAAAAAGTGTTTCAATGTGATAATGAGCAACAAACGCCAACACAAAGATTCAAAAGGCACTCTCTGCATCTGGAGTAGTGCCTGTCAATTGAATTGAACTACACGAATTAGCAAGTTTCTGAGAATGATTTCTGTTAAGGTTTAAGTTTTGCCTCAATGGAAAGAGACTTTTGCAATACCTCTTGACAGAAAATAGGCAATATATCACAGCAACAAACAGAACTAGCACTGTGAAAGTTGCGTCTCAGTTTATCATATGTTTTGCTGAATTACAACAAAGACTGTAATGATTAATCTTATCACAGCATGCTTTAATTAATTATATTTTATAAAAAAAATTGTTTCATAATTTTTTTGGAACAATCAACCAAAGCACAAAATAAAGTGCACAACATCCCATAAGACTCAATACTGTAGTCCGTCCAAACAACCAATCAACGAAGAAACCCACCAACCTATTCTAAATCCATTTAAAGGTATAGTCCATCATTTGCAGCCATCCGAAAAGTAACTGGCGTAATTATTGTTGAAAAACAAACTTGGTTGAAAGATAGTAAGGGGACTAAACTCCCTGTGAAATTATTCTTTCTGGGAAGCTGTCATTTTGAAGTAATCAACGAAAGAAGGCATTTCCAATGGTGATTCTTAAGAAGCACCGTAGGAAAATTTAAATTAGTAGTTCGTTTTGTTATTCAGCGCAGCGCGCACAAGTATTGGAACGACGCACACGCGCGCGCGGTTGTTATAATTCGTCGGATCAGTGCGCGACGTCGCGTATAGCTGCAATTCAAAACAATTCAAAACATGATTCAGTAACTTTGGATTTGAAATTGAGATCTTAGAATGCTGTTTTTCTCGGAATGTACAGCTGAAGCTTAGCTGAAACTTCATCAGGTTAGTTGCTCAGTATCTTTCATTAGATTTTGAACTCTTTTGTTGCTTCAAACGAACAAAATGTACAAATTACAAATGATGGACTGTAGCTTTAATCTATCACGTTAGGACCTGCAGTTACTTAAATTTTAATTCAAATTACTTCAATACAGTCAAAAGGATGCTGATAATTTAATGAATATGGATGGCAAAGAAATATTGACTGAACTGGGACTTGAACCCAGGACCTCTGGATTATAAATCCAGCACTCTACCAACTGAGCTATCCAGTCTGTCAATGTTGCCATCTCTGCTAACAGTATACCATCTTTGCTTAGATGAAGTTGTTGATGTGATGTAATGGCACGTTCGGCAACCTAGTGCCCTTTGTGCCAACGCTTAGATGAATGCCAACCAGGAACCATAAATAGAGGGATTATCTTTACTTGGACAAAACTTAAAATATCCAAATGACACTTTGAGGTACAAGTTTTTTTGCAGTGTCTCCATTGATGACAGTTTTCATGTACAAACATGTCTGTGACTTGTCTTCACCACACATCCCACCACCAATCATTCCTTATTGTCTGATTTTTGCTGCTTCCATAAATTTCCCATCCAAGCCTGTGCACAGAAGAACAATGCGTGATTAGACTGCACACACAAACTAGGTATACATTGAGATAACAATGGGAAGGCAATCAAGCTGTTCCTGATATTGACTAATTGCAGTAAAGGACAAACTAACCATGGCTCATCAACAATACACACATTATTTCTTGTGCAATAACAAAAACACATGTACAATTATGTCATTTTATCGTAATTTTGTGCATGTGTATACAGACAATATGTTGTTGTTACAAAATTTCAATATACGTATTTGTAGCTTCTCTTCAAAGAAACCTGGTCCTATGAGTGCAATATTCCACATGGAGGTGTGGGGGGGGGGGGATAGTGTGGGTTTACGACAGTATGGGTGAAATAAGTTAAAATTTAAAAAATGTTACCCCATACTGCTACTGAGAACATTTTGTGTACTGAACATGATATATCAAACATTCCTGCATCAGTTGATGGGATATTATGGAAATGAATGGGTCACTAACCTCATGCTTTTAGCTGACTGCAAAGAAATATGACATACATGTACCACTATAAAATCACTGAGAAAAATAGAATAAATGCATATGCATTGTTATCAGACCACTGTAGTTGAACTACTTGTTCAATAGAACCTTTCAGGGCTCATCCGCTAATACCTGTGGGTAATAAATAGCTTCTACAGTGAAGTGCATAGGAGAACATTGATGGCATACTCAGAGCCACAACTATAGCAATGTAAGCTACATGTACCTTACTAGAAATCAGAAAGTTCTGACATTGGCTTTAAAATATTTCATCCAAGTAAATTATTATGACCGTAGTTGTTAATGTTCCACAAATACAAAAGTACCAGGACTGAAAACAGCAATGGGAATTGTTTGTAGCAAAGCTAAGCAACTATGATTACAAATTGTATCATTTATCAAGTATTGCTATACTTGCTTCGATCAACACATGTGAGAATCCGATGATGTTTGTGACTGGTAAGTGATTGTAACTCTTGATCTTGTTGCTTTCTGATCCAAAGTAAATTTGTGAACCTTCTACCACCAATACTTAATAAAGTTGCCAACCTTGTCATCAGTCTTGGACTCCAACAGAAATTTAATTTCAGGTGATACTTGGGATGAATTGATTTTTGATGCCGGAATGTTGTTCTGCTCGGATTGCACACGCAAGCCGCTGTCAGTTTTTATGAGGTGTATGAGTGTATAATAAACATTTCATTACTTCCGAGGTGTTGTGTATACAATCTGGCCAGCCAAGTACATGCTGAGGCACATGTGGCAATTACAAGAGCGACATTGCTGGCGCATGGATGCAGATACCAAATGAAGTGAAATGAACAAGTTCATGATGTTATTCAGTGTCACTATGTAGAGGTGTCAGGGCAATCGATGAGAGAATTAGTGAAGCCTGGAATAAGAGGAACCTCAACCGTTCAAGCATTCTACGAGACTCAACGGCCGCACTATCCCATCGATTAAAACAGCTGTGGAAATAACCCACTTGGTGGTTAATACCAAACACTCATTCCCCAATAACTCTCAAGCAAGGACCGCTGTGGCTTAACCTCAACACCTCCTATACACCTTCCACAATCTCTGGTCCTGAACTGCTAAACACTTTCATCGGCACACTTCACAAGAAAGGTGTCAGTCGGTGTGTTTGTCACACCAAAGCCAGGGTTTTTTCCCCCTCTTTCCTGCCCAATTTCAGGAGGCGGCGTCAGGGTTAAGGCAAGGTGTTTTATAGGTCGGCAGGGAGGGTGGCATAAAGGGCTGCAGTGGGGTGTATAATTGCACTTTGTGAGTGATTCTCCGCCATGCTGTGAGGCGAATGCAGGGCATTGTCATGACCAGGTGCCATGGGACCACAGGATTTCTGTCCGATTCATTCCATTATTTCTGGTTACTTTCTTCCAGACTTCAAAGAACGATATTGGACGGGTGTCTATTAACAAGCCCAGGAGATGTAAGATTAAAAAGCCCTTGAATTTCATCACTCTCTCTTTTTGTGTGGACAAAATTTGTTCAAACAACCCGAATGTGAAATATGCTCTGCTGACATTTTTGATGACAAATCTATTTCAAATCATGTCATTCCATATGCCATAGCAAAATCGATCTTACTGAAGCTCACTGGATATCATTTTCATCTGAAGCATTACAAATTATTCTTACAATTGTACAAGCTGTTTGAGTCATTTTGAGAATTCCATCACTCTCGTTTATGTAGGCCAATCTTTTTTTCTTCTTTTCAATTTGGCTAAATGCTGTAGATGATTTAACCTCATTTCTCAATTTCATTTCAGCCTGCAATTCCCATAAGGATCTTTTGGTTGGAACCCCACTTAATGAACGTGAGCCAGTAATTGGGAAAAGTGTATCTAAAGTTCACAAGTACAAAACCACAACTTGCCACAATTAAGAACCATATCTGAAGGCTTAATCTCAATCTCTGTCCCATCTGGAATGAGCTATCACTGTGCACATTTCCTTACATGGGCCAGTTTATAGATATGGCTATGCTTACAAATAAGAGCCAAAGGTTAGTGGGCACCAAATTAAATATTTAGACCTGTGGGCTAAATGGCCTGCATGCATTTCTCTTTTGATTACTTTCTTGTCATCAGTTGGTGGATGGACGGTCAGTTTGGTAGTTGACCAGTCTCTTTGTCCAGACCAGGGTGACCAGGGTGTATACAGAAAACTGGGCCAAAGCCTACATTTTGAAATGGCTGGAACCATGGTTACACACTATTACTTGGCTTGGATATATACATCGTTTCTATTAGTTGAAAGATGTCCACAATTACACATGTGCTATCATTCAAAAACAAAAAACGACGACGTACTTCTCTCCAAAACTGATCAGAAAACACATGAGAATTTTGAAGTATATATATCTTTTTAATTACAAATGAAACTGCACTCAATAAATTTCCACTCAACAATTCTCGAAGTCTAAAATTGACTGTTAAAAACAAAACCTGTTGAAGTTTCAATCCGTGGACTCAAATCTGTTAATGTTTACACTCCATGCTAGATTGGGTGGGCAGGCCATCACCGTGTTACAGGGAAGTTTTTTTTATTGTCAGGCAAATTGGACCAAGTTATATGGGGACTTTCTGCTGTCCCCATAGCGTCTTCCGTCCCCATAGTACCATGGGACCACAATTACGGAACAAGTATGTGTGAGTTGTTAAAGGGAATATACAACATTTGCAAACATCAAAAAAGAAAACTATCAAATTATTATCAAATACCTTACTGAATTGTTAGTGAATGACTGTCTAAAACATCCTGCAAAATCATGGCACCTGGTGTGCTGTCATTTTCAAGAAAAGTGGTATTTTTGTATCAATTTCCAATGCTGGTCGGCCCAACAGCACTGGGAAAAAACTGACTTTTTTCCAATACTGCCCCCAGTTAACCATATTTAGTTAGTCCGCATTTCGTTTGTAATCGATTACACACCTATGAACAGGTACAAGCCAGCTAAAGGGAACCAGAGTACACGAATATGATTTTATTTCTACAAAACAAAACTTCAAACAAGTCAGTGTAATAATGTTTGCTATAAAAAATACTAACCCCCTAAATCCATCCATTTCTGAAAATTACAGCAAAAGCATATGTTGTATATTCCCTTTAAGTGCAAATTCACTTTTTTTAATCAAATAAAATTTAAAAAAACTGTTTTTATAATGAAACATTGCCTAATAGGTTATTGTAGTAGTAATTTACAGGTCATAGAAATACCATCACTTGAAATAATGAACTAGACTATCAAGTGGCGCACTGTCAGTTGTGATACTACCACTACAAGCTGAAGAAATCTAGGCTAATTCTAGTTTCTCCTCTCACTAACCAACGATAAACAAATCTCTCTGACACATACTACATTCTGTGAAAGTTTTTTTCTGGATAAATTCAAATCTGTGGTTCATCAAAATAGAATATCTACAGTTATGTACATTTAGAAATCCCATGTGTGTACATACTCTTTTACCAGTAAAACATACGTGTGCTGAAGTCCGAAGCTATAATGTGCATCGTTCGTGGCATTCACCAAACACTCATTTTTAAAAGGATATTACCCCTTACAAATAGATCGATAAACTGAAAATGCAGAAGACCTCATGACACCATGAATCTTTAGGTTTCATGCCAGTTTTTGGCTTTAGAACCCTTGTGTTTCCATCTCCTCAACTCAGAAGTAACCTGTTCATGGTAGAGCACCGTGACTCTCTGGTCTTTTCAACACAGCTACACTTTGTGTGAGCACCTTGTTATTACCCCCAAATACCAGATATAGTTACCCATTTCTGAACATACATATAAGAAAGTATTGTGCAATGTTTGTCATCTTGTGTGAGAAGAACTGCTCTCTAAAAGGGCATAAATATCCAAAATGCATAGTTGACAGTAACTTTGCATCACAGAAGAGCCATCACAGAAATGTAAGGAAATAAACCTGTTCAGCCAATCTGAATCTCTTCCTGTCTCATCTAGCCATGTTCTATTGACCCTGAATGAACAGTCATGAAAACAACTGCCACAGGTGCTCCTGCAAACAATCATGACATAGACAGTGGAGATAGACTACAATTAAGGCCACTTTCTACTGAATTGCTGGGATTGCATGCAATTGCTTTATGATAACAGCTGTGGCTCTCCAGCTG